ATATAATATAATATAATATAATATGGAAGAAAGGCAGTGTGCAGCATCTCCACTGCATTTGCCACTTTTCATTTATCACTGTGGAAGTCTGTCCCATCTGTGCTTGGCTTTAAAAATGCTCTTTGTTTCCATTCTAATTTGTTTGTATTCTTGCTGTAATTTCAACTAGTACAATTCCCAACAAATTGCTTTTGCCCTTGTTTTGATTATCGTATGCTCATTATTACACTTTACCAAGAGAAAAGTATGGAGATGAGATTCCATGAGTAATCTATCTGTGTGAGGTGTTTTAATCAATGGTCTTGCTCTGGCGATTAAGCAGAGACTTCTGTTTTGGCAAGATAACATTAGTTTCTCCTGTCATGCTCCAAAAGCCATTGGGAATCTTCTGCAGATCATTAGATATGCTACAATAAAGCTTTGGTACATTCCCTTTTCTTCCTTAAATTACTTCTTCACTGTCCTATCATTTCCCATCACCATTGGCACTGCATTATTATTATAGCTCCCCTGAAACTTGCACTAGAGCTATGTCTCCAGGCCATTGGATGCCATTTTCAATTGAGGCTTCCGCTTCAAAATATAAATTAAGAAAATTTCATTATCTCCTGCCAGGGGCCATTATTCACCACTGTTCTAGGGAAGATTAAAAATGCAAAATCTACAGTCTTGAACAAATACTCCAGCGTTAAAATGAAAAGCTTGGTGTACAACGGCAAGGGTAATATACTAGCACTAACTGAAAGTAAGACTGAATCTGGAAATCTACAAACTGGGATTGTTACAGATCACATGGAACAGGCAAACTGGGGACAACAGATACAAAGTTAATTCTGAATGACAGTTGAATTCTACAATCTCAATCCCCAACATCCATTTCAGCTGGGAATTCTGAGAGCTATGGTCTTAACACATCTGGAACGCAAGTCTGATATAAGCTCTACCAGCTTCATTTCAAAGCTGTGGGACTCATAGCCTCCCTTTTCGCTCAATGGAAGTCATGT